GCACATTGCTCTCCACTTTGAATGCTACTTAGACTTGTAAAAACCTTTTATTGAACAATCCATTTATTCTCAACAATAAATAGTTCAAGTCAATTCTGTTAATATTGTCACAAATTGGGTTTTTCATTGTGGATTGTATTAGCCTCTGCAGTGATTCCCTGTTGTCTTGGCAGAAAGATGCATTTTGACTGTTACTGTCTGCTAGTGACAATTTTTCCCTTAATTTAGGAATTCCTACTTCTTATAAAGGCCAGCTGGAAGCAGCTAAGGCATTACAGCACCTTCCTCAGCTGTTGGCCTTGGGAATATGTATTCTCTCCAGAATATATATCTTTGGCAGGGAGTAGAAAGAAGGAATCTTGGGTAACAGGCGTGCATGCCAAGTGTAAGGATTGTTATATTTAACGCCTAGGTTTCTGTCCTTGAAATTATGTCTAAAAGAAGTTCAAAAGCAGGACAAAATTCAAGCAAAGTGGGTAGATTTTATTTGAAAGAAAGAAAAACTTTCCAAAAAATGGCTGTTAGCTATATTTATGCAGGAATTTTTTTGTAATCTTTAACAGGAATCTTTTACATGTCTTGCTGCTTGAACGGTTTTACAGTACCTTTAGGACTATTTCCAAAATGCACAGATTAACAGCCACATAAAAAACCTCTGGCTGAGTTTAATCTAAACCTACAAACACAGTTGTCCTACGGGAATTTTCACTAATCAGATACATGGCCTTAAAGTGTAGGTCATCTGAACAGTCAGAAGTAAAATGTAATTAACCACCAAAAAATAAGGTATAGCATGTGCAGGAGTGACATTTGGAAGGTGGAGGGGGTGGGAAGAAGAGCTATAGAAAAGTCTTCTGTATTCACTAGTAATAAAGTTGTGGTCTGAAATTAATCTGACATCTGCTGAATTTATGCAAGTTACTATAGATTGGTTTGGAGTGGGCATTTTCTGTAAATGTTGTATACATAAGCCTTATATTAATATGTATATGTACATATAAAATCACGGAAAATGCAAGCAGTTTTGACAGACAGATTGCTTCCTGATTAAATCACTGCTTAATATGTGAAAGTGAACATATTTTTCTTCCTGTAAATTGAAAGTTTTGTTACAGTTTTAAACATAGTAACTCCAGTAGTATACAGAAGCTATGCAGCTTTAGCTACATACCAACACAAATGCTACCTAAAATGCGACAGCTGCACATCCAGTGAGAAATATTTCCCTCAGATTGAATATTTTCAGTGAGAGGAATCCAAAAGTGAAGCAAGGTTAGGAGACCATTTTGGAAGAGTCTGCTTCCACTAGAATATACCCATGCATATGCAAGTAAAATGAGTATCAAAATGAGGGTCAGAGCTGTTGCTTTGAGTTGTATGTAGCTGTTTTGCAGAAGCTGAGGTGTCTCGTAGTGAAATTGGACAAGTGCCTTTGCAGAATGAAAAAAAAAAAATAATATGGATGCCTTTTATGCTTCAATATTCAGTGGCTGCTCGCAGTTATACCAGCAGCTGGCTGATGTGTATGCAGCACAAATTCAAGTTAAAGACTGCTTCATGGAGACAAACAGAAATCTTACGGTTTGTCTGTGTAGCTAGCAAATGCACTGCTAAATGCCATGCTTGAAGTGTGTTTTCCCTGTTTCATGCTATTTCATACTACTTTGAATGTCAGATAATACAGATAAGGTAAAAACATGTTGTTTGTTTTGGGGTTTTTTTTTTTTTGTTTTTTTTTTTTTTTTTTTTTCCTGGCTTCCAATCAGTAGAATTCTTAATTCTGAAGTCAGACACCACTGCTGCTGATGATGTGTGAACAGGGAAGAGCACAGCTTGACTATCAGATCCCTGGATAATTTTAAAACACTAGTGGTTTGGAAAAACCTCTCTTTACTTGTAAACTGATCAGGCTGTCTTTGAAAGTTTTGGATTGCAAATCAGTGTGGTAGCCCTGACACTTCACAGTTTTCCACAAACATCTTTCAAGACTTAGTAAAAGTTCTCAGTTGTACAAAATAAGAATAAATACAAAGTTTAATATTAGTACATTTCTGTGAAAACAGAAGATAAAACAGAAGGTAAATTTGTTACTTTATTTACTGCTTTGCCACATATTTCCTTTATGAACTGAGACATTTTATTTTATCATCTTTTAGTGTCAGTTTCTTCCTCTAAAGTTGGGATGTTAATAAGTAGGTCATACAAGATTAGAATTAATTGTTTGCAAGACACATACATACATCTTCAGACAGATAGCTACATTGTAATGCATCCTAATGCTCTTTGAAATATCTCACAAAGGCCAGTAGCAGCTCAGTCATTAAAGGGATGTTAATTTACCAGTTAAGATTTTAATGCCAAAATCTTGCCAAATTCTGCGTAGAAAGTCAAGGCCTAAACACTGATTAGCCGAGAGAGAGATCTGTCTGCTTGTTGCATATTGTCCCAGTTGCAGTCAATTAAAAGCTTTCAGTTCAGAGCTCATTTGATATAGAGAAGACAGGACTATTCCCAGAGTACTCATCAGAAAGGCACCTGCATAAGTGAATTATGCATTATCTATCAATTAGCAGATAAATTATTCGAGCCCATTTTGTCAGCAGAAGTCTAGTGTTTTCAAATCCCATTCTGCCGTCCAGTAGTGGCACCTACTAATTTTAGGATAACCAAAGGTTAAGGGCAGATAATGTACCAGATCCAGCTGCCTGTCCTGTCATCCTCCTCAGTAGCTGATAAAATATGTACATACTGCAAGCTTTGGTTAATAAACACACAAGTGGTTTCCTGAAAGAAAAAAAATACAATACTGTGTGCAAAATTACTGTAAGTTAAGATCATTGGGATGATCTTTGAAGATTATCAGTCTTATTACCTTCATCGTATTATCTTGATCATTTTACCTTCATCTTTCCTTCATTCTCAGGTTTTGGGGTTTTTTGTGTTGGGGTTTTTTCAAATTTTGCTATTCCATTGTCTCACTTGCTATTCCCTTAAAGTATTCCAAAGATAAACCTCTCTGAAATTATGGAGAGAGGAATCCAAGAAGTGTCTGGAATTTTGTCAAGATTAAGATCGATGTTCTGGCTGCTATTGGTGATTAAATGTGTGTATGTATATGTGTGATTATACATGTTTACCATGTGCATAATGTTGGCCATTATAGGAAGTAAGATTATTTTTAGCTGCACAAGGAAAAGGCAGAGAATTCAGGAAAAGCAATTCTGTTGAGAGGCTTTTTCTCATGCAGTTTAAAAGCAGTATGCTGAATTCAGAGTTGATGACAGACTTATACTTTGAAAAGATTTCAGTACTAGCTGCATTCTAGCATATTTGTTCATATGTTAAACTGTGGTTGCTATTGAATAGAAAATTATGTATTCATAATTGAATATCTTTGCATGCCTTGGCTCATGAAGGCTATATCTGATGAACTTTGCAATAAATTATAGTTCTTTATTGACTTTATGGAGTTACTCCTGATACACATCACTGAGAACAGAAGCAAAATCAAGTCCACTTGCTGCCTCCATAGAATGCCAGTGCTTGATTTCAAGTGGTTACAAGTTGAAGTGATCTTGTTCAGACCCTTGTGAAAACACCCTTGAAGTGTATATCCCAGTCTCTTGTACCTCTCTTGGAGTCTCATGAGTCCAGAAGACAAAGACATGAATCTCACCTCTCTTGATGTACGTTTGGGTTTAAGCCCTCTATTTCCCATTTGGTATGTGTAAGTCCTTCCTCCAAGTGACAGTGTTTAAAATGTCACTCAAAAGCACATAGATAACAAAACTAAAGGGTAAAAACAGATTTAGTGTTTCCTACACTCAAAATTTATTCTTTCTTTGCAGAAAACTATACTTCTCCATCTCCATCTTGAGACAGGATGGTTGGGAAACTCTTGTTATAGCGCTCTCTCCTTGTCTTTCTCTCTTATTTCAATATTTTTTCAGATGCATCTTGAAGCCTTGAAATATGTTCTGAATATTATGTAATTAAGACTTTTTAGAATAAAAATATTTTCAGGATTATGTTGATGGTAGTGGCATAAATTTTCAGCCAGTGCTCATATCATTCACTGCCAGAAATTAATAATTGAAGATATCCTCTATAGTAAATTTCTCCAAAACTTAATGGAATTTATGGGTACTTGGGTCAAAATCATTAGCAGTCCGGAGCAAATTGCAATATATAATTTTTTTAATGAATTTGCAGTTAAAGCAATAGAATGTACATCAATGGACACAAAAATAATTCATGCCCCATGAAATTTTGTTCATGAAAAGTCAGCAAAGGGGAACGCATGATTTTGTTTGTTTGGAATAGGTTTTGTATGCATCTGTACAGCACTGCCCAAGTTTTCATTCTAATATATTATGTTACTGTGATAGAAGTAGAATGTTACTGTCATTACAGTTGCTCAGCTGCTTTATTTTCTCACCTCATTCTCTGTAGCAATAAGGTGGGAAGGTTGCCTAAAGGCCAGGCAGCATGTTTAGCATTATGTGTTTCATTTATTGGACACACATGAAAACATGAAGATGGGAAGCAAAGACAGGAGGCATTCACTCTGCTTCATAGAAAGAGAACTTTTGCACTGGCCAGGGCAATGGCTTAATTAAAAACGCTGCCCTCTGTCAGTGTCTGTGAGCATTTTCTTTTACTCCATTATTTTAATCTCTAGTAAGAGTAAGTTAGGATACAGATTCGGGAGAACAGCCCCTGTTCCCTTCACGTACATTGATGCATTTCATTTTCATCATAGGGTCTACAAAATGGACCTTGACAGCAACAGGATGCTGGAATCAGTCCCTCAATAAATGCTGCCAATTTATATGTGCTTTTAAAATTGTTTTTCATTTAGCTAATGGAATGGAAGGCAGAAATCTTGAAATGCTGACAACTGAAGGAGCAGCCACTGACTTCACCTGGACTGGCATTTCACCTTCATGTTTACAGGCAAAAATACTTTCCAATGAATGTGTGTCTTCTGTGTGTTCCAGTGCTCCGTCACCTGCGGCAAAGGGATGCAGTCTCGAGTCATCCAGTGCATGCACAAGATCACGGGAAGGCATGGCAGTGAATGCTTTTCCTCAGAAAAGCCTGCAGCCTACAGACCCTGTCATCTCCACCCCTGCAATGAGAAAATTAATGTTAATACAATAACATCACCCAGGTTAGGTAAGCAGTCAAAATGACACTTTCCTGCTGGAAATATCTTTTTAATTCTTTCTCTCCATAGAATAATGACAATCCCAGTTTAAAAACAGAAGACTAGGACTCAGAAGATGTAAATTCTATTCAGAGACTCATCTCTCTGTCTCAGTTTTCCAGTGTGTACCTCAGAGACTGTACCTCAGAATGGTGAAGAGTTTTGTTATCCAAGGAAGGACCATATCATGGGACTATATGATATTATGGACACAAAACATCCAGGATGAAAATATGTTTATATTAGAGACATTATAAACATATTATGTGTGTTTATATATATTTGTCCACTCAATTTTATCAAACATTTCTAAAGTAAGAAAATAGCTTTCTTTCTCTTTAAAAGCTCCACAAACTATGTTCTTATGATACTTGTGAGTTCAAGGAGGCCCTTATTTGTTCCTCAAATACAAATACCTCTTTCCACTTGTCTTTAGTTCAAATGTCTATAATCTATGCCCAAAGGATTAGAACCTGTGAAGGAAAATTACTAAAATGAAGAGATTTGCTGTTCCTGGAGGAACTCAGGTCTCTGTTGGTCTTAAAGAAATAATGTTACTGCATAATAACAGAACTGTTAATTCTGTTCATTCTTATTTCCTAGTGGGTTGTTGACAATGGTCTTAGCATTTGCTCCCTAAATCGGTCATCTGCTTCTTGAGCATGACTGGAGAATATTTAAAGGCTAGCTGTAAGACAGCATACCCTTTCCAGATGATTTTCCAGAGCCCTTGTTAAGATAAACCCTCCTGTCAAAGAGATTACTCCTGCATGGAAAGCAAGTCTAACATTTCAGGCTGTATGTAATCCTTCCTTTAAGTCAGTGAAGGGTATTTCTCTTTGAAGTTTTTAACCCTTAAACATTTCCGTGTAGTAGTCATTGTTTCAGTTTGCTGGATGAGATGGCAGTTGTTGCGTATGGCTCCCGCCTCTGCTATTTTGCTGTTGTAAGGTTGCCTTTCGTACTTTATCTTTCTTTGTTCAACTGATCTCTCAGAAGCAAAAGCCCATCGCTCCATCACTGATGCTCTCCCTCTGGTGAGGTGTAAGCAGCTTTTTGTCACAGAGTAAAGTGAATAACAAAGTTTCACAGAAAAAATACAGCATCAGATTCATTAAAATTTGACTTAATATGAAGTGCAGAAAAAAAGAGTGAGCTTTTTTGTCCTCGTAGAATGGATTGTGTAGCACTGATGTTAGTAATCTACAGGTCAACCTCATCCAGCAGGAGTCAGAATCCAGTCTGGTAGAAACATTAAGATCTCAAAAATACATAATGCAATGCTTCTCTGGAATATAATGATCATTTTGGCCTCCCGTTCCATTCTTATTATGCAGTATAGATCCTCTGGATTTGGGAGTAGGGCTAGTGGAAGCTGATGTGGATTGCACCATCTCTATTCTTTTGTAAATACACTCTCAGTTTCTCTTCCCCTTCTGTTAAAATGGAGAGTAATTAAAATCTTCTGTGCAATTGACCTTTTTTTTCAGTTCAATGTTTACAGTGATTTTTAGATAATGTATGTTTCTTCTGCCATTTTTTCACTGTTTTCCCATATTCCACGTATGCACTACAACCTGAATAACTGCGTGTGCAAAGACCCAAATTTGGTACCAGGGTTCTTCTATGATAATCAATGTAAGAGGCTTTCTCAAGCAAAACAGGTGGGCAGATTAACAGATGCCTTCACAAGAAAAAAGTCAACCCACATTAAGATATGTCTGTTCTGTAGAACAGGCATGCAATAGAAGTCAGGCTTGTACATCTGAGTGTTTATGACTGCTAGAGAGAACCGAATTGTTACAACTGTGGGAGGAGGCAGAGTAAACCAAACAGTGGCTTTTCAGGCTAGTGTGATGTCCTTGTCATTTTAGAAGGTTTCTGAGGAAGAGTTTGGTAGTCAGGGATTCACACAGATAGAAAGAAGTGACAGACTACTAATAGAGCAACATGAATAACTGGGTGAAGATAAGTCATGAAAGATGTGAAGGTAAGGATTAATAACCTGACTTTGACATGGAGGAGGGAAGACCCACTGGAGTGATTAAAAAGAGGGTGATGCAGTCAAACCAATGTATTGGAAGACAATTGAAAAAAAATAAATTAATGTACTTGGAGGTCAGGACGGTAAGAAATGCACAGTATTTGTGCATTTGAGAAGCACAAAATGCAATAATTGGGTCTGGACAAGTATATCTATCAACGTATCAGCTCTCATTGATTCCGTACTGTAAGTTTTATTTTTCTAGATAAAATGGATTTGCATTACAAAGTGTACCATGGGACTTGCTAACTGACCTCAAACCTGACAAGAGTGCCTTGTGGTATGGCATCTGTACCATTGAAGCTAGCAGGACATATATATTTCTGTTCATTTGAACAAAGAAGACAAACAAAACTAAAGGTCTTGTAGATTATTTCACTTGTGAGGACAGATGATGCAAGACACCATGAGGTTTTGTTCCGTTTCCACTCGTTGACAACATGGCACAAAGTCTTGATTTCTTGAGCAAAAGCTGATCAGAAAACCAGCAGCAGTCTCCATGCTTCAATTCCTACATTTCCCTACTGCCTCTATTAAAAAAAATCCCCTTGTAGGTGTCATTGAGAACTCCATTCTGGTATTATTCAAGCTGAGACTTCCTGTTTTTCCAGTGACAAATTCCATCTCAGATTGAGGGCAGTTTCAGCGGGAGCTGCTGCTTCATGCAGCTTTGCTGGACCTGGCTGGCTCTGCAGCCCCCACTTGGCTCTGGCCCCAGCTCCAGCCCACCTCTTTATAGGGCACAAAGGTGGGCTTCACTCTGCCATGAGGAGATGTCTGCATGACATTAAACTTTCAATGCAACTTAATCAAACTTATAAATTAAGCTGGCCTTAAAAAAATTTAATCTTGAAAATATTGACAGCAGGAGGATTTTTTCAGTCTTTATTTTGTTCAACATCTATATTTGTTCTCCTTTCCCTTCCCCAGATAAACTTCTGGTGCCCTTGTCACCTTTGCTACCTAATTCTTCACTAATAAATGTAACAGTAATGTGTATTTGATTTTGTTGTTGTTGTTTCACAGCTGCTTTAACATTCAAGTGCCTGGGAGACCAGTGGCCTGTGTACTGCAGGGTGATAAGAGAGAAGAACCTCTGTCAAGACATGAGGTGGTATCAGCGGTGCTGTGAGACATGCAGGGACTTTTATGCACAAAAAATGCAACAAAAAAGTTGACCTCTGTCAGGCTGGCTGGCTCTCAGCTCTTTGCAATCTTATTATTTATAAACACACATACACACACACACACACACACACACATGCACGCTTCTTCAGACCAAGTATTATCAGATTACATATAATTTAATCAAATTAATTTATTTTTGCCTGCCAGACATCCTTAATTGTTTTGGTTAGACAGCCAACTTCTTTTATCCTCTGACACTTTCATAATTAATTTTCTATGAACAATTTTGGATACATTTATCAGAATTTTTAAAAAATAGCAACTAGTATTTTAAATGTTTATTTTCAGTAGGGTCATTTCTCTGTTGCCAAAAAAAAAAAACAGTCACGTTATCTTGAATTTATTTTAATTTAGCTGAATAATGTTGTGGTATATGGAAATAAAGCCCTTTTAAATGTTATATTTTTGGCATTCAGAGTCAGAATGATCTTGTGCATTTTGCAACAGATGTTGAGGTGAGTAAGCTAACATTATTGAACAGTTTATTACAGAATGTATTGTGAAATCAGTTCATTTGTTCTAGAAACATACTGAAGGGGATAATCTACTGTAATTTATAAGCAAGAAAATTAAAATAGCGAAGTAGGGATTTTGATCATTCTCATGGACACATACTTGAACACAAGTATTGAATCAATGAAACACTGTAGAGAATTACACTGAATCACTGTTGCACTGTTTGAGGTAGTGTAGAGAAATGCAGTCCTAGAACTTGTACCATCCTATGACTCCACGTCTGTACTGTTTTAACATGTCACTTGATTTTAAACGTTTTGAAACAAAAAACCCATGCTCCTCTATACCTTTGTGTGTCCGTTTGCAGATTTATAAATGGAAGAGTCCTTCCTCCTGCCACTTGTATGAATTAATCTGTTAAACATTTTCAGTTCTCTGTTGATGATTTAGAAAATAGCTTTGTAATACTACTTTAGTTTTATCTTTGTTTTATGAAAAAGTCTTTATAAAAGTAAAATGTTTTACAGTTTTGTGAAACGTTATGAAACAGCTAAAATTTTCCTTATGAGAAAATACTGTACATGATTCACATGATTTTTACATTTCCAATAAAAAGTAAAGCTTCTTTTGTTATTTGCATTTTTCCTCTTTTGGGCATCTGTGTCTGGTAGCCTAATCCATTGAGCCCTGCATCACAGCAGGTACAGCTACAGTAGTCCCTACAACAAATTCCTCCTGCCTCTTGACTTAGGCACCTTTCTGCAGCTGCAGACAGACATGCTGCTCTGTGAGCTTTGATGTATGGAAAGTTGGGTATAACAGAGTAATATCAGTGGAAGAGAAGTTGTTTATCTCAGGTGAGTTCTGTAACCACTGAACTTGGCAAGAGGAGAGGGGTAGGTCCTCTACCTCCATTTACTGATGCAAGCCAGTAGGCGTGCCCTGAAAATAAATAGGAGAGCAAACCCTGAAGACAAGAAAGAGAAATGAATCTGAAAGACATCATCTTTTCTACACAAAATAACAAGGGAATGCATCTTTGAGTGATTGTTTTTGTTAATTCTCTGCAAAGAGTCTACCGTATAGATGTGATGTAGATATCCACACAATTTAATAAACGGAGGCTCCCAGTCAGGGCTGTGATTCTGTCCAGGAAGAATACTTAGCTGCAATCTTAACTCCCATTGGAATCCACATATGTGCTTTCAAACAGCTGTACTGTCAAAATCTTTGTATTGGCATCTTACTGCTGTGCATTAAAAACCTGCAACTTTAATGATGTGCTAATGTATGATTTTAGATTAAGTATCTTCTGGTTGTAAAAAGTATAGAAAGAAAAATAACTGACATCATGGAATGTGATATTGTATTATATGTAATTAAAAAGTTTCAAAGCACAGAAAATTCAGTTGCTCTTGGGGATGACTCCTCAATGTCACAGATACACATTTGAAAGTCTAATAGAATTATTGTAGTTGGCAGGGAAAAGAAACAATTGTTATTTTAAATTTTCTTCATACTTACTTAGTGACCAGTGCTGCTAACACTCCTGCACTCAACTTGAATCGCAATGACTGAAAATAAAGCAAAAGGGAAGGTATTTCCAGATTAGGGGCCAGAGGGGAGGTCTTTTATCAGCCAGTGATATCATCTGCCCAATTTTGAATGTTTATGCTCTGCTGCTTCTGAATATTCCAGTAACAAGCATGTTGGCTTTATTTCAAAATGGAAAAGTACATTTTAACTCTGCCTGTATCTGTTGAAAACAGATGAGTGACTTGTGCTGAAATCATCCTCCCATCACCCTTATACAACATCATAAAAGAAAAGACCTTTGGAAGGGAACCAAAGATGGAAAGTTGCACAGTAAAGTGACATTCTTTTTAAATGTAATGAGTGAAATTGAGTTGTAATGAGTTGTAATGCTGATAGCTCTGGCTCTGATTCGTTCGGCATCTGTGGCACAAAACTATTAATTAGACGTGTATGAATCATTTTGAAGCAGTTTGGTGTCACCATATCAAAAATGCCTCTTTCTTCTCTGCATGAATTTGAAAGCAAGTTAATTTTACTCTACCATCATCCAGAGAAGCAGCACAGACTGAAACAGGTGTTTTGTCAGATAATGGTAAGAACATTTTGAGAACATGCCCAGCCTATGGCCTGAGTCGCAGCATGCTGTGGGGTGTGCATGCATGTGCCTGCCCTGCAGAGTTCTCCCATAGCCCTGGGTGACAGCAAGGCAGCATTTTCCTGCTGTGTTCAGGGAAGTAATGGCCTTCTGCACTCATAGATGTTCCCACCTGAGCTTACTCGCTGTTTGGATTTGGTCTTTCAATTTAAGCAACATTCCTTCTGCATCAATATGTTTTCCTGTCAGCCTAATGAATATGTAAAATTTCAACTAATGAATGTCAAATCAGTCAAGTTTAGCTGACAAGTAAAGGTGACATTCACTCCAGCTCAGAAGAGCTAGAGTAGGCCTCTCTGATAATTAAATCCCACTTAAACTCTATTTTGTTGGATTAAGTGGGATTTAAGTGGTGCACAGGGTTTGTGCTAGGCTGGCACACAGTGAGTTTACTTCTTCCCAGATATGTGCTGGCTACCTACAGCAGTGACCAAAAGCTACAATGGTAGCCACTTCTCATACTTTTAAAAGAAAAGGAGTATCTGAATTTTAATTGTGTTGTCATTTATTCTGGAGAGAATTTTATGCTTTGTTCTGGAGAATGTGGTTTAGATTTGGGGTTGTTTGGGTTTGGTTTGGGTTTTTTTTCTCCATTTTTCATTGTCATCTTTAGTGACAGAGAAGCAGGTATTTGCTCATTCTAAAAATATATTAAAAATTTAAAGCTTGCCTGCATGAGGAGACCAAGGGAGGCCCTAAAGCCCAGCAGGTCAATTGTAAACAGAAAATGAAGAGTGCTCAGAAAGAATTTGAAGAGTTCTGTAGAAAAGATGCTCAAACTAATAGTAAAAGGGACTTGAAATACATCAAAAGCAGGAAGCCAGCTAGGGAGTCAGTGGGACCATTTGATAATACAAGTGTGAAAGGGAAACTCGGGGATGATAGAGCTATGAATGGGAAGTTCAGTGCATTATTTGCGTTGGCCTTTCCAGATGAAATGTTGTAGAGGTTCTTTCACCTTGCAAATTACTTATAGCAGAGAGGTCAGAGAAACTGGATCAAACTGAAGGAAATACACAAGAATGTGAGACCAAGTAGGTATGTTAGATGCCAACAGGTATCCAGCGTGGCAGTCACATGAATCACAGAATCACAGAATCACAGAATGTTAGAGATTGGAAGGGACCTCGAAAGATCATCTAGTCCAATCCCCCTGCCGGAGCAGGAACACCTAGATCAGATCACACATGAGATTCCTGGAAGAACACAATTGGGAAATTACAGAACTACTTGCTACAGTGTGTAAGCAGTTGTTTCAAACAGCCCCTTTGCCAGAGGACTGCCTGACTGCAGTGTAATTCCTGCCTGTGAAAAAGGAGATCTTTAGGGGATCCTTTGAACTACAGAGCCTTGAGTTCCTTTTCTGGTGCCATAGTAAATAATACAAAAAGACTAAGATCCCTAAGCACCTGAGTAAGCATGGGCTGTTGGGAGAGAGTCAGCACAGCTTCAGCTGTGCCCTGAGCAAAGAGGATTTGGTAGACACAGAAGTCTCAGACAAGGTTCCATGTTTCAGGAGATTCAAGAAACAACATTCAGACAGGACTACAGGAAAAATCTTTATGGCTTGAAAGCTGATTAAAGGATTGGAAGCAAAATGGTCATCTTTCAGGACAAAATCATAGAATCATTAAGGTTGGAAAAGACCTCAAGGATCATCGAGTCCAACCATCAACCCACACCAACTAACTCACTAAACCATGTCCCTAAGCACTACATCTACACGTTTCTTGAACACCTCCAGGGATGGTGACTCCACCACTTCCCTGGGCAGCCTGTTCCAATGCCTGATCACTCAGTGAATACATTTTTTCGAATATCTAGCCTAAACCACCCCTGGTGCA